CCCCCTGCTATGCACGTGTGCACCAATACCTATCCACACACAAACAAACAAAAGAAAGACATAAAAATGGTGTCAAGCAGCCCTGGGTTCAGTCCCCAGGATTACTCGACAAATAAGCAAACCCACTCTTGCTTGCATGTGGGACAGTGTCACCTCTGATCTGTGGGACTCAGATCCCCAAAAGCTGAGCCCCGCCCTAGAGATGAAAGGAAGGGGGTGACCCCTTGAACTTGTCCAAGGCACAAGGGGAAGAAAGTGAAAAACAAAGAAGCAGGTGTTCCCTAGAACTCAGAACACAGGGCTTATTTGAACAGATCGGGTCTCACCCATGAGAGGTGGCACCCATCACAGTCCCCTAGCGCTGCCTTCTGAGTCCACTCTAAGTGAAAGAATGACTTTGCTGGCCACTGAGACACCTTATTTCATCTGCCGATGTAATTGAGGACATAAATAATGCCTGCTGACAAGAAGCAACCTGAAGGGAGGAGGATGGACACACACCGCAGCTGAGGCTGTCTAGCGACGGCCATGCCCCTTTCAGGAGCTATTGGTCAGCCTGGTCCTAGAGGTGGTGTTGCAGATGGCTCTGGGCCAGTGTGGGTGATACGTCAACAGTGGGAGGCAGTGCTACAGCCACATCAAGGGGCAGCGTGATTCCAGCAAGAGGTTGGCTTCCTCCTGCATCCACTGTGGTCCACATTCCAGGATGGCAGCCTCGGAGACCTGGCAGAGGTCCCCCAGCTGGTACTCTGGCTTTCCCCAGCCTCCTCCATTCTCCCGGGCAATTAGACCCGGTCTTACCAGACATTGTACGTGGAGCTCCACTTAGTAACTGTCTTTCTCTCCTTGCCCAGGAAGGGCCTCCACTTCTACCGCTTCTGTCACCAGTTGGGGGCCAAATGTTGAGTCTGTTGGGACTTTTCATACCACAACGTGGGGTGAAGTACTGCTCCCTGTTTCCTTGCCTCTCCCTGGAGGACAAAGACCCAGAAACACACCCTTGATAGCACCCAAGGTGAGTGTTGATATAATGGAGACCCATTCTCACCATGTCAGAAGCAGTAGTTGTCTTTTGAGGGCTGTGGTGCCTGGCCCCCATATACATCATACACACACCAAATAAATACATATTAAAAAACAAAGGAAGAGTTGTTTTGTCCCATATTTGTCCTTGGAATTTTCAGACCAGTCCCTGCTGAGGCTCCAGGAGTCTGTTTAGCTTCAAGGATGCCCCACCCTGGCCAGAGGATCCCTAATGGGCAATTCACTTAAGCCTCACAGATACAGGCAGCCATGAGACTTGTGCCACCTAGTGGCTGTGAGAACAGCAAAGCCAGTCCATTGTTGAGACAGTCTGACTTGGAGCACTTGAGTTCACAGGCTGTCTGTCTCCTGCAGTGTAACTAGTGACTGTGGGTGACCCCCCTAACTTCAGGAGTCAGCCACAGCCGGTAGAGGGATGGCTGCCTGCACAGAACTTCGAGAATGGGTTATGATGAGCCCATATGTTCCCTAGCCTGGGATGTCTCTATCTGCAGACGTCAGTACGTTTGTTTTTTTATTTTTCGAGACAGGGTTTCTTTGTGTAGCTTTGTAGACCGGCTGATCTCGAACTCACATAGATTCGACTGCCTCTGTCTTCCAAGTGCTGGGATTAAAGGCGTGCACAACCAGTGCCCGGCCACATCAGTGTTTTAATTATCCAAATTTTTATGATGTTTGCGTGTGTAAATGTCACCATGGCAGTATGTTGATGTCAGAAAGCAACGTTCAGGACTTGGTTCTTTTCTTTTCACGTGGGTTTGAACTCAGTTCACCAGCTTTGGTGCCTTGACCTACTGAGTCATCTCACTCCCCTTAATTATTTAATGTTTTATTTAATGTGTGTTTTGTCTGTGTATATGTCTGTGCACCACTTGAATGCAGGGCCCAAGGAAGCCAGAAGAATGCATTGAGTACTCTGGAACCGAAGTTACAGTTTGCCACCATGTAGGGTGCTGGGAGCTGAACCCGGGTCCTCTGCAAGACTAACAAATGCTCTAAACCACCAAGCTATCTCTCCAGCTTTTAAAAAGCTTATTTGTGTACGTGTCTATGGAGTATGTGTACCCATGTGACCTACACAGGTGTGATTGTCACTCTACCATTTCTCCTATGCGGGAGGCCATGTGGTGGACATGGATGAACTCTGGGACACTGGTGGACTGCAAGACCCTGCTAACACATCTGGGAGAGCATACACACAGGAAGTAAGTGCTAACACATCTGGGAGAGCATACACACAGGGAGTAAGTGCTCACACATCTGGGAGAGCATACACACAGGGAGTAAGTGCTCACACATCTGGGAGAGCATACACACAGGGAGTAAGTGCTCACACATCTGGGAGAGCATACACACAGGGAGTAAGTGCTCACACATCTGGGAGAGCACTTACTTACACACAGGGAGTAAGTGCTCTAGCCTGATGGCAATGGCTAGATATCTTCAGTGTTACTGCACTCTCTTCCTGGATAGTTCCGGTGATCAGGGAAGCTTCCAGGGCCGTTAGTGCTATTCCTTTGATGGTAGCAAGAATGAACCTAGGGCCTCACACATGCTAGGCATGACCCTACCAGAGGTCTATCCCAGCCTTTTCATATTCTCAATAAAGTGACTTTTAATTATGTGCTATACATTTTGGTGTGTTGGTCTGTGCAGGTGGCCTTGGGGTTCACAAGAGGATACTGGACCCCTGCAAGTAGAGTTACAGGTGGTTGTGAGCTACCTGATATGAATGCTGGAATCAAACTCTGGTAGTCCTCTGCAAGAGCAGCAAGGGCCCTTAATCACCGAGCCAACTCTCTAGCCTTGCTGTTTCATCTTGTGAGACCGGTTCACTAGGTTGTACAGGCAGGCTCTGAACTTTCAGTACTCTTTTCTCAGCCTCCCAAGTTTATTATTGGTTTGCCTTTTTAAACATTAAAGTGTGTGTGTGTGTGTGTGTGTGTGTGTGTGTGTGTGTGTGTGTATAGGCCATGGGACACACAGGGCTGCCAGAGGACAACTTGCAGCAGTCACTTCTTTCCTGCCTTGTGGAAATTAGGGACCAAATTCAAGTTCCAGGCCTGCCTGCATACAAAAGCATCTATTTGCTGAGCCAGCTCAATGGCCCTGGTTTGATTTTTATAGAGACAGAACCTTGAATATATTACATAACCCACACTGGCCTTGAGTTTAAAAAAAAATATTTTAAGTCTATGGTTGTTTTGCTTGCATGTATCACATGTTTTGCCTGTGTATCACATGTGTGCAGGGCCAGTGGAGGCCAGAAGAGAATGTTAGATCCTCTGGGCCTTGAGTTACATACAGGTGGCTGAGAGCTGCCTAAAGTGGGCGCTCTTAAAAAGCAGTATGCACTCTTAACCACTGAGCCATCACCTCTCCAGCCCTGCTTTGTCCATTTTTTGAGTATAGGTGTTAGTGCCTACAAGTATGTATATGTACTGGTACCAACAGAGGATTTCAGATCCCCTGGAACTGGGTTGCAGACAGATGCTGGGAACTGAACCTGGGTCCTCTGGAAAGGCAGTCATCTCCAGCCCACTGAGACAGCTCCCCCCACCTGCCCCCTGACAGGGCTTGTCTGTGCAGAACAGGCTATTCTTGAACTTAGAGATCCACCTGCCTCTGCCTCCTAAGTATAGTGCTGGAATTAAAGACGTGTGCACTGCCAACACCTAGTTAGACCAGATCTTAATGCCATTCAGGCTGACATTTAATGCCCTGTGCAGCTGAGGATCCTTCTGATTCCACCTCCCTAATGTTGGCTTCTTAGGCATGCACCACACCCTCCAGCTCTGATATGGGGATTTGTAATCACTGTGGCTTGGACAGACACAGGTACACTGTGTTAGTACCCACAACAGGTTTTCCTCAGAAGGAAATGTTAAAAAAAAAAAAAAAAAGAGTACTTTCAAGTATAGTTCAGTACAGAAGTAGACGGAGGTGAGGGTCAGGATTGGTCCGTTAAACTGAGCTTTAAAAAAGGTTTTCTATTTTTCAAAATTAAGGGATTGTCTTTGTCAGAGAAGAGCTGATCATGACTCTAAATCCAGAGCAGTTGTGACTTCTCTGTCCCTTGTATTCCTCAAAACTCTTAGAATGCAAATGGTACAAGATGTCAAGGGCAAGAACCCAAACAGCAGAAAAATCCATGTGCCAGGAAGGCAGCTTTCAGTGTTCATTTCCAGCAGACTTCCCATACAGGCCACCACTGGCTTGGATCAGCCCTCCTCACACCTGGGACACCACACAACAGGAACCAGATGTCCAGAACAAGTGATCTGGCCACTCCCAGCATGCCAAGGGCAGAAGTCAGTAGGACCATGCATCTTTATGTCAGCATCATGGTGAAAGCATGGCTGAGTGAGGTGGATAAGCTGGCTTGTGCCTGTACCCCTGAACATGAGAGGCAGAGGCAGGGTGCCCTTGAGTCTGAGTGCAGCCTGAGCTACATCTCAAAGACACAACAAAAAAAGTACCATGGAAAGTGGAGTTGAGCAAGGAATACATTTCTCATCTCAGCTGAGCTGTGACCAAAATACTCTAGTCTTTCTCAAGCAGCTCATCTGCTGTCCAGTCACAGCTCCAAGTCATACTGTGAGGATGAAGCTACTAAGCCCGACTTGGCACAGGCTGCAGTCCTGAAGCTCCGGGGTCCACAACAGGAGCAGAATTGGGCAGCTCCAGGTGCAGGGAGTGCTACCTGACTGGGCAGGGCATTTGCTGAGGGGGATGGCAGCCCTGGACCCCTGCAGTACATGGTTCATGCTTAATGTCCAGAAGAGGGGTCTCTACACCACCAACCCCCAAGACATACTATACTTTATAGTAAGGAGCAAGACAGGCCAGGGCAGACGTCCACACACATCCTCCAGGGATACTATTTCCAACTCCCACCTAGCTTTGCAAGCAAGAGAGCAGAGCTGAAGAAAAACCATGCACTTTACTCTGAGATGTTTCAGTTTTAGTGTTTATTGGAGTCCATTGCTGGCCAAGCCCAGTGCTGGGGCTACCTTCACACACCTCACAACAGCCCTGTGAGGTAGGGTTCTTCTTGTACATTCCAGCCCGAAGTCCCCTGAGACCTGCCCCTAGCACATACCATTAGTGTAGGCAGGACAAGGGACTCCAACTTTTGCTTTGTTTTAGAAAATACAAAAGCTTTGGTCCCAATCCACACAAATCTTAGAAATTTGGGGGTTTTTAAACTCTAGTTCCCCATTGTTTTTTTTAAGTCATCATCCTTTGGGCTTTTGAGACAGGTTCTCATTCTGTAGGCCAGGTTTGCCCAAAACTATATAGTCTAGGCTGGCCTCAAACCCACAGCAATCCTCCGCCTCACTCTCCTGACTGCTGGGAATATAGGTACCATACCTGAATCCAAAATTTCTCTTAACTTTGGAAAATTAAAAAAATGGCCATTAGTTGAGGCCTGGGGGCCAGCAACCACTCGTGTATTCTATTGCTTCGGTCCCTTAACTGGCTCTCTCCACACCTGAGGCCTGCAGGTGGAGTGCAGTTGCCTCTCAGAGGTCAGCAGAGACTGATTGAGTCTGTCCAGCCTGTAAGACCACTGAGTGAGGGCAGAAAGCCCTGGACACTGGAAGATGCCTTTTCTGACCAAATTTTCAAGTGAGGAAACTGATTCAAAAGGGAGAAATGAATTCCAACCTTGTTTTGGAACACTAACTTCCAAGAGAAGAAATTGCAGCCACTGAAGCTGAGGCCCAAACCCACACAGCATTCAGGTCCAGGGTCAGCATACAAATCACACATGAATCCAGACATTCACTCTTTGGTTCCAGGAAACTCCAGCTCCCAGTCAACCCTGTGTGCTCCCCAGGCTCTTCTGGTCAGTGTCTCCCTGGTCCTGCAAAGACCTGTTCTATTTTCCCAGAGAAGCACCCACTGTGCCAGACCACAGAGCTGGGGTCCCACGTTATCAGGGTCTAGGATAGTCACACACAGTTAAAGTTCAACACCCCTGCCTTTAAAGATCTTCACCCCTGCCTTATAAAATGTACGTAGTTGGCCACTCAGATGCTCCAGGGCGCAGGTACAGCCAGCAGCCAGATCTAGCTGTGGGCACCCCTCGTGCCCCACCCATTCCATTAGCTACCCTGGGAGCGGCAAGAGCGAGGACACTGGTAGGTCTGTCTAGCCACTGGCACTCTACCAGACTTAACCAAACTAACCTGAAGACAGCTGCCTATAGTTCCTCCTGTCTAGCAGCCTCACCAGGCTGGCAGAACCTGGTGCTGACATTATCCTTATTCCCTGCTCACACCTAAAGCCATGCTTTTGCAGAAGCAACACCCCACACCTTCAAAACCCTACTGCTAAGATCTGTGTTTAGAATGCAGATCTAAGGACCTGAACTCTCCATTCTGTAGAGCTGAGAAAGGAGCTAGGCACAGTGGTACCTGTAATCTGAGCTCTCAGAACTTGAGGCAGGGAGACTGCTCTAAGTCTGAGGCCAGCTCGGACCATACAGTTAGTGAGCTCCAGGGCAGCCTGGGCTCTAATGTGAATCTGTACCTCCCCCAAAGACACCAAAAAGTAAAAGCAAACAGAAGTGAGGGCAGCCCTAAAACCTGACATCACTTTCCTGCACCAAGATAGAAAAGGCACATCACCCCTGGGGAGGGAGCTGTCTCCCTGGGGCCTCCCTACCTGTCCCTGCTAACTCTGAGGAAGGGAGAGGTGCCTGTGGCAGACAGTCCAGCTCCAGTCCCCTGACTGATGTCTAACATAGCATCTTACACCTCTGTGCTTTCTTGGACATGGGAGTAGCTACAGACTCTCCTTTAAAAACAAAACAAAAAACCCCAAGTCACAGTTATCGGATGGGGACAGCAGGAGACAGGGCATTTAATGACACAAATGAGGGATTGCCTTCCTTGGCTCTGGCACATTGCCAAGTTCACCTGCCAGAAGAGAAGGCACAGAGCAGAGACAGCTTCTCTCCCTCAAGATCCCCATGGAGAACACACTGCAAACGACAGTCCCCCATGGAGAAAGCTAGTCCCAGAATGATCCAATCTGGAAAGAGTATAATAAATGGAGGGAAAATGGTCCAGGTGGGGCTGTAGGGCAAGAGGGCTCCTGACAGAGGCCACTGTCCACTGGCTCCCTGGCTGGTCTCAGTTGGCGGATGGGCCTATCCCTGCAGAATCACTGCACACAGAGCCTTCTTCATTTGTGTCCTGCCATGAGACCTGATGACTGTGGTTTGCTATGGAGTGACCACTCGCTCTCCTATGCTGGCTTGGCACATCATGCATGCAAAGCAAGGAGACGCCACAGACTTCACCAAACAGTTAATTTTGGCAAAAAAAATAAAAATAAAAATAAAAATAAAAAAATAAAAATAAAATAAAAAGAATGAGAGGAAATAAAAAGCTAAAATTCATAAGCAGGATTGAAGTCACTGAGTTGAAAACAGTGTATTTTCTCAACAGTATGGATAGACTAGAACTACAATCTCTTTGTTTCATCTCTGCCATCCTCTCCCTCAATTCAGGTCAAAGTTCATAGCAGCAATGCACAAGTCCTCTGCCAGGCCAGTGTTCTCTGCGACCGGGCCAGAATTCACAGGTCAGGATTAGTCAGTCCGGAGAATCATGGGAGGATGTTCACTGTCTTCATCCAGGCGCAGGGCACTGGCTTCATCCTCCAGGCATGCGCCCCCCACGGCACCCAGATCATCTGTATAGGCTGTGAAAAGATAAGAGTGCTGTTCTCACAGAGCTGGCTCAGTTATGAGCTATGGCCACACTAAGACCTTCCCAACCTGGTCAGAAGAGTGAGGCCACTGTAGCCGCAGGCAGAGCCAAATGATGGCACCCATTTCCCAGCATGCAGTAGCACAGTACAAACCCTCTAAACAGAAGTAAGGCACAGGACCAAGGCAACTTTAAGGGACTTTAGCTGGAGACACAGTCATGTGCTATGGCTGAAGGGCTGCTTTACAACATGGAAGCTAGCACAACCGTTTTTTGCAAACAAACCCCTTGAGTTTAGGGAAAGTCAGCCACAGGGATGGAGAGGGCCATGCCTGAGTGACCTCAGATGTCAGCACTAGTGGCCTCTGCCCATGATGCATGAAGGACATGCTACTTACAGAGAGGTGGCATGCTGGGTGGGCTCACACACAGCCAGACTCACTGGCTACAATGACTGCCTTTTCCCCAAAAATGAAGAATATAAATTCACTTCCACAAGCCTTGGAAGGAAGCTCTGTCCCATGGCTCAGTGGGAAGCAGCAACTCCTGTGACAACATGGTATCCAAGAACCTGGAAGTTGTTGCTCAATTACCTTCTAAGTTGGCGTCCTGTCCTTTAGCAAGTCTTGTTGGGGACGAGGGCACATAGGCACCTTTGGCAGCTGCTGTGCCATACGTCTGCGTTACTAAGGGGCAGTCATGAGATGCGGAGTCTACAATTTCACTGGTCGTCTCCATACTGCCATCGAGCCTGGAGACAGTAAACCAACGGGGTCACACTCACTGTTCAAGCTGGGTATGCTGGCTCATTCTCAAAGTCCCAGCAATTGGAGGTTGAGGCAGGAGGATTTCCCTTAGTTTGAGGCTGCAGAGCAGGACCCATCTCAAACAAGTGTTCCAGAAGTACAGATGGACATAGTATGTACAGCACATCCTGGGGCCTGATGTGCTGGTCACGGAGAGAGTGCCACCTGATAGAACACACCCACCAACAAACACCAGGAATCTGCTCCTGGGATTTCCACAGTGACTTCAAGTCACACACATCTCAATCACCAACTGCAAAGTCCCCACTTGCATCCTAAGGTTGAGATTGCAGACTCCTTCCATGAGGACACCTTACTGTAAACCCTGAGTCTCACACACATATCATTGCTGCCTCAGGCGCCTTTCCTCCTGGCCAGCAAGGGAAAGTAGAGGCTCTTAGCACCAGAAAAGTGAATTTCAATGGGGAGATGATGCTTGCCAATGACAAAGGCTAGCATATCAGTCCTAAGGGGATGAAAGCACAGACCTACCCCAACGCCCACAGCTGCAGACTGCCATGCAGAGCAGCCTCACCTGTGCTGACGCATCAGGGCACACTCGCCACCTTCCTGCGGGTCCAGGTTGTACATGTATAAATAGCCATCTGATGCTCCTACCAGCAACCGAGGGATCTTCTGAATTCTAAAGAAAAGCAGCCATAATTTACAAGGAAGACTTTTTTTTTTCCTTCACAAAAGGCATCCAACTAAACCTACATCTCAGCCAGGCTAGGAAGAAACCTGCTAGTGCACTAGATGAAGACAGTACCTGGGCTCCTCAGAGTGAAGCTGGCAAGGCCAAGGGTGGCCTGGGTGTGAGCACATACTGAATTCCAAAGAGCACATGGTGGAGCAGGGTAGCTATCTGTTTCTTGGGTCACTATATATGTGCTCATCTATATATGTATGTAGGGAAGCCAGATGAGGGCATGAGATGTCCTGCTCTACCACTCTAGGCTTATTCCACTCAGCTGGGTGCAGGTTGGTGGCCAGCAAGTCCTAGTGACCACTGTCTCTGCCTCCCTCGTGCTGGAACAGGTGCACATGGCCACCCCTGGCTCCTATGTGGGACAGAGCTGATGCTCACGAGAACCTCCCAGCCCGAGGGTGAGTGTCCACAAGCTTTCACACATGCGGTGCTTGTTCTAGCAGAGCACTAAACTGCAGTCTTTTAGCTATTCAAGCTGGAGCTGTGCTGTCACACATCTTACAGACAAGCTTTCCAGTGCTCCGTGCCTGACACTCCCAACTGCACAAACAGGATCTGTGTGCACCCAGATGCGGCCACTAAATAGTGTCAATTTCCTAGTGTCTTTCTTAATGTTTCCCATCAACACAAACACCCTGCAAAATGCAAAGGATGTTCTGTGGTGAGAATTTCAGAAGACACCCAGATACTGGGCCCAGGGATCTTCCTGTACTAGGCAGTACCTGATGGCACCCAGGCTTGGACAGGCTGGACAGGGTCACACACACCTCTGCAACCTGGCAACAAGCACCGTGGCTCTGCTCCCCGGCTCTGGTGTGGACTAGGAGAAGGTGGAGCCACAGGCTCAGTCTGTACTCACGTGGTTAAGGAGCAGATGTTTTTATGGCCACAGAATGGTAGTCGAACAGTGGCAAAGGCCCTGCCCTGGTTGAACATTTCGGTCACTTGTGAAGGCAGGTAGCTGGTAGACGCCATGAGCACCTTCCCAAAGTAGCCGGTCCAGGTGGTGGGCTCTTCTGGAGGTCTGGAAGCACCATCACACAGGTGAGGCTGGATCCTCACTGAGAACTACAGAGCCAGCCCTAGACCCACTGATTAACCCTCTACACTTCACAAAGATCAGCGGGGCAAAGCACAGAGTATCCTGTTTTTTCCCTGCCCAGTGGCTGTGGCTGTGAAAACATTTTACCAGGGGCACTCTCTGGAGCAGCACACACCCCAGACTCACTCAAGCTCCTGCCATGTTTCACTAGCATGTGGACTTGTGATTATAATGAGGTCAGGATTACTTGTGGGTGCTAGGGGTTGCACTCAGGGTGTCTTGCTGGATGTTGTATACTCCTCTGCTGCATATCTTGTACATGCTTTTAACGACAGACACTTGGATGGAACTTAAGCTCCCATCAATACTGGCCCCAATGGGATGCTCCTGAACGTGAGGAGGGAAGGGTCCAGTCTCTTTACCATACATATGTTTCAGGGACTTAAAGTTTAAGATGGAAGCACTCACCTCCTTGATGACCTGTGAGCAGGTCAGAGCTGGGAGTCATTCTAGACACCCAAGTGCAGAGGGTGTGGAGTGGGAACACACGGCCACCCATCAGAAGACAACATTGGGACCCTGATTCCTGGCCTCAGACCTTAGCACCTTCACACACCACAGCATCCCCTGAGCAGAGGTCTCATGCTGAAGCTGGGCTTCGTGGTATCATGCCCATGTTACAGTCAGACCACGTCTGCACCCAGAAATAGTGCCACAGAGCAGAGTGGCTCTGTGCCATGCTTTTCTAGTGAATGTGGACAGTTTAATTTTGTGTATGTTTTTTATTTTAAAAAATTTTTATTTAAAGATTTTTATTTATTTATTATGTATACAGCATTCTGTCTGCATGTATACCTGTAGGCCAGAAGAGGGTGCCAGATCTAATTACAGATGGTTATGAGTTATGCTGGGACTTGAACTCAGGACACCTCCAGAAGAGCAGCCAATGCTTTTAACCACTGAGACATTTCTCCAGTCCTTTATGTTTTTGTTTGTTTGTTTGTTTGTTTTTTGAGACAGGGTTTCTCTGTATTGCATTGGAGGTTGTCCTGGAACTCACTCTGTAGACCAGGCTGGCCTCGAACTCACAGAGATCCACCTGCCTCTGCCTCCTGAATCCTGGGATCAAAGGAGTGAGCCACCAAGAGGTGTTGTTTTCAAATTAGTTAACAATTTTATTATGTGTGTGTGCACATGCTTGAGTATGCTTGTGGAGGCCAGAGGACAATGTACATGAGTATACTCTCTTCCCACCACTTGGTTCCCAGGGATGGAACTCCCGTTGCAGGCTTGACACCTTTACCCACTGAGTCATCTTATCAACCCTTCCTTACAAGTAGAGACCAGCTAGCACAGTGGCCACATGTCCCCGTAACACCGTTGAGACCCTAGATTTGATCCTCAGTGCCTCCCACTCCCAACAAACCATATTAGAAAAGCTTATTTTTAGCTGAGCGGTGGTGGCACAATCCTTTAATCCCACACTCAGGAGGTAGAGGCTGGTGGATCTCTGTGAGTTTGAGGCCAGCCTGGTCTACAGAGGGAGTTCCAGGACAGCTAGGGCTACACAGAGAAACCCTGTCTTGAAAAACAAACAAATAAAATAACAAAAAAGCAAAAGAATACAAAAAGACAAACTTGTCTTTGCAACTCACTTTTCCCTCACGGCCTCCAGTTTGAAGATGTGTACAGTTTCTGTGTTGCTGGATGCAGAGAGGAACATGCCGTCCATGCTGAAGGCCAGGGAGCAGATGCTCACACACCTGAGGAACAGGGGCTGTGAGAGAGGGCCCAGCTCCACCCCCACAGAACACACCAGCAGCAGTTGGGAGTGGGGGCACAGCAGTGCCTTCCTAGGGACTTGTAACTGTGACCACAGAGGAGACACACTTGGTCCTACAGAAGACTTTTCTGTTCTTCTTGGCTACCTTCTCAGGACAAAGGAACTTGCTTGTGATAAAACCAGTAAGAACAATTCTTTTATTTGTTTTTTGAGACAGAGTCTTATTGTGCCTGGCTTTGAAATTGTAATCATTCAATCTGGACGTGGTGGCCCACACCTTTAATTCTATCACTTGGGAGGCACAGGCAGGTGGATCTTTGTAAGTTTGAGGCCAGCCTGGTCTATAAATTGAGTTCCAGGACAGCCAGGGCTACACAGAGAACTCCTGTGTCGAGTGTGGTGGTTTGACTAGGAATGCCCCCATAGACTCATGTGTTTGAATGCTTGACCCATAGGGAGTGGCACTATTAGGGGGTGTGGCCTTGTTGCAGGAAGCAAGCCATTGTGGCAGCAGACTTTGAGGTCTCACATGCTTAAGGTAGGCCTAGTGTGGCAGTCTCCTGCTGCCCGCAGATGTAGAACCACATACTCACCTCTTCACTCCTCTCCGGAACTCGAACAGCTTTTGTCCTTCTGGAATGGAAAATACACGGATCACTGTCCCCTGGGTCAGACAGAGGAAAAAAGGGGAAGAAAACAGAATTTTCAATGACAAAATTAAAAACTGACCTTTCTGTTTTTCATACTACTCTACACATAAGCCAGCATATAGTCAGCTTCCAACGCGGCTGGGCTGCAGGGAAGCTCTGGCATCCTTCCTCTGAGCTCCATTCTGGAGCTGCACACACCCTGCTGCTATGGATCAGAACATTCTATCCTACTTTTGTTCACCACCACAGCAGTGCTTAAAGTCAGCTTACTGATCCAAACACAAGCAGCCTTGAAGCCAAACATGGAGCACCCTAAATGCTCCGAATCTTCACCCAGAGACCTTACTGGAATCACTTATATTAATAATCAGACACACGTACTTGGGATTTACACGTAAACACACCATTACCCGAAATAATATGCAAGAGACAACATCAATGTTTCAAAATAGTGATGTTTACAGCCATTAACGCAGTTTTTTGCTGTTGTATATGTGGGTCTTTTTGAGACAGGGTTTCTCTTTGTTAATAGCCTTGGGCTGTCCAGAAACTCTATTTGTAGACCAGGTGGCCTCAGAGATCTGCCTGCCTCTGTCTTGGAGTGCTGGGATTAAAGACTTATACCATCACACCTGGCTATTGTTTTTGAGACAGGGTCCCACTATGTCCCTGGTTAGCCTAGAACTCACTATCTAGACCAGACTGGATCTGAATTCAAAGACCCACCTGCTTCTTGAGTCATTACCATGCCCAATGTTTTCCTATCTTATGCCACAAGCAAGCACTTTTTTTTTATAATTATGCTTTGTGTATGTATATGTGCATGCTTGTGGGTGCATGTATCACAGTGCACATGAGCCCGATGTAAGCCTGAAGGAGTCAGTTCTTTCCTACCATGTTTCAGGGACTCAACTCAGGTCATGTCAGCCTCTAGCCTTCTCCATGTATGTACATGCACCTGTACATATATGGACATGCACACACACAAGCACCAACATGTACACTTGGAGAACCACCTCACTGGCCCTACAGTATGTCAAAAAATGGCACACTGCTATGGTTTCAAGGTCCCCAGCCTATGGCACTAATGAAGGTGGTGGAACCTTCAAGAGGTGAAGCCTAGACCAAGTTCATCTAATCTCTGTTAATGTCTTTAAAGGCAATATAGGGGTACCAGGTCCCCAAATTCCCCCTCCCCCCACCATACCCTTCTTCCTGGCTACCACATAAGCAACTTTTGTTTTGGTCATGGAGCAGGCTCAAAGTGACAGAACCCTCTGACCACTAACTAACCTATCTGTCCTCCATACAAGTTGTTTCCCTCAGATACATTCTCATAAGGTGGGAAGCTAACTGTGGTTAACTTATACTGTGCTATCTCTGCACAGTGGGTCTTTGATTTTCTGTGCACTGGGGACTATAAAAATCTGCTTGGTAACTGTGTGAACACAATGAGCAGGGCTTGTGGAGACCACTGACCCAGGTTTCCTCCAGCCACAGCAGACATACCTTCTCAGAAGCAGTGGCAAGCTTGGTCCCACTTGCATCAAAAGCCAGGGCTGCTAAGGGACTGTCATGAGCCGGGATCATGTTTGCAGCTCTCTGAAAAGGGGAAATCAGGAAAACATGACTCTCGTACAATAATAGCCTTGTCCCCATGCTATCATCAGGGTCATCAGGGGAAAGAGGCTGTAAGAACACCATTACTAAGGTCAACGTGAATAGTGCAGCCACGTGGTGGGCAGGCCATGGAAACACTGCTCAGACTGCAACAAGCAAGGCAGCTAACCCTGTTGGCTGGGTTCTGCCAACAAGCACACTCTGGAGCTCAGTACTGTGTGAGCGCTCTGCCACCTAAAGAGAGCACCAGGGAAAGCCATGCTGCTGGGCCAAGTATGCACTGCATGCTTTCCCAGTGAAAGACATCTGACAGAGTCTCACGAGGACCTCACCAAGTTAATGGTGTCGAAGACCTGCACCTCTCCAATGGTCGCACTCCCTGGATACGCCAAGTAGCAGTTGTCATTGTTTATAGACAGTGCACACAAGCCTGTGGAAATACACGGACAACTGAATGCACACTGAGTCTAGAAGGATATCTTTTAGGGTTAGAGTGGAGTTAACATTTCTAGAACAAAAACAATAAAAGTAGCAGCTACATCTTCTCTGCACTCTCTGTAAGTTCTGCACCCCAGGCCACTCTGTCTAATAGTACAGATCAGAGATGAAAGGCCTTTGGTTTGGAATGACCAGCAGGCTGGGCTAAAGCTGATCCAACCAATGGGCTTTCACACTCATAAGACAACCCTACTGGGAAGGTAGCTCAGTAGGACGGGACCAGGAGGGTAGTTTACATATTTTAAACCTGCCTCGTGTGTGGGCCAGAGAGGAAATTCCCACCCTAGGGCTATCTTTATTGTATTTGCTTATTAAGCATGTATGCACATGTGCCAAGGTGTCTGTATTAGTCAGAGGACAACATGAAGGAGGTTATTCTCTCCTTCCATCATGTGTGTTCTAAGAGTGGCACTTGGGTCCTCAGACTTGGTGGTTAAGTGCCCATTTACTTGCTGAGCCATCTCACTAGCCAACAGTTATCTTTAAAAGGTCCCCAAAGAAACCAGGATCTTCCTTTTTTAAAAAATAAGTTGTAAGCTGGGTGGTGGTAGCACACACCTTTAATCCCAGCACTCAGGAAGCAGAAGCAGGCGGATCTCTGTGAGTTTGAGGCCAGCCTGGTCTACAACAGCTAGCTTCAGAACAGGCTCCAAAGCCACAGAGAAACCTTGTTTTGAAAAACAAACAAACAAACAAAAACAAATAAATAAATTGTAGGGGGCTGGAGAAATGGCTCAGCAGTTAAGAGCACTGACTGCTCTTCCAGAGGACTTGGGTTCAACGCCCAGCACTCACATGGCGGATCACAGATGTCTGTAACTCCAGTTTTGGGGGACCCAACACTCACCCAGATACACATGCAGGCAAAACACCAATGCATTTAAAATAAAACTGTACTTATTTTTTCTTTGTATGTGTGTGTATGAGGCTGATCACGTGCATGCAGTGGCACAGGTAGAGGGCAAGCTGCAGGAGTCAAACTGAGGCAGTCAGGCTTGGTGACAGTGCCTTTACCTGTCCAGTTAAGGATCCTCTTAGCAACAGCTTACCTGCAGGGTTTGGGGGTGTCTCTCGGATGGTATGAAGTACCTTCATGTCCCGGATGTTGTGTATATAGAGCGACTCTTCCAGGCACACGATGAGCCTCTAGAAACAGTGAGAACAAAGACCACCAAGCATGAAGCAGCACTGGTGCAGCATGTGCTGTGTTCCAACCGAGCCGACGCCTGGATCAAGACGCTTTCCACTCCTAGGTCACCACACAGGCTGCTGTATAGAGCTCAAGTGTGGGCAGCCATTGCCAATCAGGTTCTAGAGCCATTTGCATCAGCTCCCATAAGTGCATACGCCAAGTGTACTATGAATTCTAACGTGGTGACTTAATCCAGTTCCATGTGCTTATGTGAGTAGGGGGAGATCTATAAAGGCAAACTGCTTAGAAAACCATGGTGAGGGCCAGGGAGATGGCTCAGTGGGTAATAGTAATTACTGTGTGAGTGTGAGGTCAGGAGTTCAGACCCCCCAGATGCGCAGTGCAAGATGGAAGGTGGAGATGGGAATTCCCTGGGAGATCATTAGCAAGCTAGCCTGGTGTATATATCGGCAGGCAAGGTAGAAAGCTCATACTGTAACCCAAGGCCATGCTTTGACCTCTACATGTTATCTCTCTCACACACACACACACACACACACACACACACACACACACCCACCCAAATAGCAATGGCTAGGTGCACCTACTGGGCCCATCTTCTCATCATTTACCTACTGCAGAGACCGAGGCAAGAGGACAGCAAGTTTGAGGCCCCATCACAAAATAAAAAGTAAAACGGGCTGGAGATGTAGCTTAGTGGTAATTGCCTCGAGTGTGTAAGGTCCATCCTGAGTACTACAAAATCCCTACAATATCCAAAAACCTATGGTGAATGAGGCATGGGTAAAATACAACTAAAAGCATGGAGATTTATACAAATTGTAAAACGTTACTGTACTCACAGGTTATTTTGCTGTGAAGTCTTACTTTTTATTTCATGCGTGTTTGCTTGCATGTATGCATGTATACTGTGTGTGCTAGTTTCTGAGGCAGTGGGAAGAGGGAGTGAGATCCTCCTGGAGTTAGAGTTACAGGTGGCTATGAGCCATCTTTTCAGGTCCTCTACCCTGTTCTTACCCATTTTAAAGACAGACACTGGGGCTCTAGAGGAGCTGATGGGGTTGATTTCAGTGAGAGGCTTGCACACACTCCACACCAGCTATATAGGAGCATGTACCTGTTATGCCTTAAACTTGAAAAGTGTTCAAGCTATTACATTCCACAACTTCCCAGTGGAACTAGCTGATGGATGAGGCCAATTCCAAGTATAATCAGGCAACCAGGAGGCACATGTCTGGTTCACTGCTTTAAAAATAAAGCAGCCCCTTGGAATCCAGCCCTCACAGTAGGGGAGACTCAGCCTGCTGCTGAGGCACCTTTCCCTGCAGAATGTACATGCTGCTGCACACAGAAAATGATAGAGTTCTTCTGTAGTGGCTACCCGTGTGCAAACTGAGGCCAGGACATGCAGGAAACACACTCAAAGGTCCACACAATTGTGCCTTGTGGGCTTGTTCTGTTGGTTTGGGGAAAAAATATATGTCACAGTAACAACTGAAAGGAAGATGAAAGAGAGATTTTTTTTTAAAGTATCATTTATAAATGCAAAAGAAGGCACGTCATAAAAAGCCTATGCTAGCCCTGTACCCGTATCCTGGCAGATAGTAACTGACAGTAAGACTAGTGTCCCGAGGTCAAGGAGAGCAGGCTGGGAAAAAGCCAATGACATGCAGAGGACCACCTGATCTGGCTGAGGGAATGTGTTCAGTGGTCAGGTAGGGTGGGGCACACCTTGAGTCCCAGCACTACCGGAGGCAGAGGCAGATGGATAACTATGAATTGGAGGCCAGCCTGGTCTACATAGCAAGCTCCAGGACAGCCAGGGCTACATAGAGACCCTGTCTCAAAAATCCAAAGAAAAGACATGTGTAGGAACTGTAGATGATGGTGCAGGGCTGGGAGGTAACGGTGCAGGGTTGAAAGCCCAATAGCGTGAGACATGGGAGGAACATTAAATGACAGTCAGTACACACTTGGTTTTTGTTTGGTGAAATGGTGGTTAGTAGCCAGAGATGTTGCCTGTCCTGCTCTATCATCCTCTTCCCTTGAGATGGGATCTCTCACTGAACCTGGAGCTAAGGCAGGTAGCCAGTAAGTTACAACAATACTCCTGCCTCTGGCCCCCCACAATACTAGGATTAGAGGCACACATGGCCGGCCAGTCTGGCATTTAATGCAGCTGATGGGGAGTCAGACTCAGGACCTTGTACTTTTGCAGCACTAGAGCTGGTTTTACACTGTGCTTGGGACGGTACCCAGGACTCAGCGTATGGTGGGTACTCTACCAACTGAGGTGCTTACAGCACAAGGTGCTACTCACCTGCCTGTTCAGCTTCACAGCCAGGATCGTGTTGGAATAGCTGTAGTTGCAAATCTCGGTTCCTTTCTTAAAGTGGCAAACTTTCAGCTTCCTGGGAGCTTTGAGGCTGACGATGGCCACCAAGCTGCTTGAGAACAATCTCTCCACAATGCACACATCTTCAGTGTCAGCTGGAACGAGAAGAAAAACACATGCATGGATACATACATTCCTAATCAACACACCCAATCTGCTCACAGACACAAGTGCATGTACTTCTAACAGGCACATGACACACAACACTGTGAGGGACAGGTGGGCTGACAAGTCCACAAGAATCACAGGACAGCAAGGGGGATGGAAAGTCTCATCATCTGTAGCCATGGCTGTTGTCACTATAAATACAGATCACACCCTATGTGCAAACTCAGATGCCAAAGCAGAATCATAAAAGCATGTCTTTAAATACACTCACTGCTGGCAGGACTTTAAACACACTCGCTACATTTATTTGTTGGTTTATTTATATATTTATTGTGGGTGTGCATGTGTACCATGGAAAATGTGGAGGTCAGAGGAAATTTGTGGAAGTCTGCTCTCTCTTACCATGTGCATTCTTGGGTTCCAACTCAGGTTGTTAGGCTTGGCAGTAAAAGTCTTTATGCACTGGGCCATCTCACCAGCCCACACTTATTCAAATAAGATCAAGGAACAAGACGCTGCAAGGGAGCACAGGCTAAACCCACACCGTAGCTGCTCTGGCACTGGGCAGTGAACCACAGCTCATGGTCAGCCCCACAATCACAAGGGGAAGGAACTGTGCTGCTGCTACATTCAGGGAGCTGGGCTGATAAACACAGCTCTACTTGCCAACTGTGTACACCTAAGAGCATCTGTGTTTCTAGGTAAGTATGTTGCTTTATCATGTCTGCCTGACCTGAAAGGCAAATGTGCACTAACACACTAGACATGAGCTAGAACCAGACACACCCCTTTCAATTAAAAAGGTGACAATGTGCTGCACAGCTTTAATCCCAGCACTTGGGAGGCAGAGGCAGGTGGATCTATGTGAGTTCGAAACCAGCCCGCTCTACAGTTCCAGGACAGCCTCCATAGCCACAGAGAAACTCTGTGAGAAACAAAGTATGAGAATGTGTTGTTACCCACAAAAGAACAGACAGTAAAAATCAAGGCATGATCCCAAGCTCTTTACAGTTTATTCATGGATACTTTTGGCTCTTCTAGAGCAGCAAGCAAGCTTTCATTTCAAAGATCAAAACAAGTGGCTGCCACCATTGGGGAACAGGCCAGATGGGTGGGAGCCAGGAGGTGGGTCCTATGCTGCAGAGGCTTTGCCTAGCAGCATGCTGGTGTAGGTGCCAAGTCCAGCCCAGATGTGCCTGGCAACAAAGGGCACAGGTAACACTGCTGGCTCTTGGAGGCAGAGACTTTGCAGATGACAAGCACTCAAGATAGCCAACCAAGTTGGGCAGACAGACCTGAGACCCAGAACATAAACTATAGCACAAAGAACCTCCCTCAAGAAATCCCAAGTGTATCTATCATAATAAACTTGCTAAGTAGGAAGAGTATTGATACACACTGCCCTGAGTTGACTTCCAGCAATACAAATTGGGCATGGTGTATATACCTGTAAATCACATCACTCAGAATGTGAAAAAGTGGATCAGTTCACAGTGGCTGGGTATGGTGACACACACCTTTAGTCCTAGCACTCAGGAGGCAGAGGCAGGGGGATCTTTTCTTGTGACTTTGAGACTAGCCTGGTTTACAGTCACTTAGAGAGACCCAATCAAACAAAAAACAACAAAACAAAAAAAGAGCTGGGGCTGGAGAGGGGGTTCAGCAGTGAAGAGCTTCTTGTAGAGAATCTGCGTTTAGTTTCCAACACCAACATCAGGTGGCTCACAACTGCCTATAATTCCATCTCCAGGGGATCTGATGCCCTCCTCTGACCTCTGAGGCCATCTGCATTCCTGTGCATGCAACACATCCTTAATTTAAAATAGCAAAAATAAATCTTTAAAAAAAGAAATGCTTGTTGCAAAAGCATGAAAACCTGATCCCTAGCACCCATGTACAAAGCAGGGCATGGTGGTGTACTGGGGAGGCAGGCACATGAGGGCTCAGGCAGCTCAATGGTTAGCTAGTGCAGACGTGTTAAATTGTGAAGCTGGTCTCTATATGACCATTTCCCTGAACACACACAAATTAATTTTAAAAGGAAAGCCAGCTGTAGTGGCAATAGAAGCAAGAGGATTTCTGTAACTTTGAGGGCATACTGGTATATATAGTAAGTTCAAGCCAGCTACGATTACCTGTCTCCTCTTGGCTCTTGCTGTCAGTAGTGATGAACCTAGCTTCAATAGCCTCAAGAATACAAGAACTAGATTTCAGCTTTGATAACTGTTGTTTAACTATGTAAAGACATGTTGCATTTGTTTATGTTGTGGAGTATTTGTTTAACTATCTATGTAAAGATGTGATGCTGTTTTATCTTGCCTGCCTAAGGCACCCTAATGATCTAATAAAAAGCCGAATGGCCAGTAATGAGAGAGGAGGGATAGGTGAAACTTGCAGGCAGGCAAAGTAGGAGGAGGAATTTAGGCTGGGATGGTAGGGGAGAAAGAAAGAGATGCCAGGGGCCAGCAAGACACAGAGGAAGAAGGAAAGTAGGACATACAGAATGAAACAAAGGTAAAAAGCCCCAAGGCAAAATGTAGATGAAGAGAAACACCATAGATTAAGTTAAAAGAGCTAGTGGGACAAGCCTAAGCTGAGGCAGAGCATTCATAATAAATAAGTCTCACTGTTATAGGAAAGCCCAGTCTACATAAATCTGACTGTGTGTATACATATGTATGTCTGTGTGCATTCATGTGGGTCATGGCATGCTTGGGGAGGTCAGAAGAACTTCAAGCTCTGGTTATCCCAAATCTTGTTTGTTGAGTTCCCATCTCCCTGGCTTGGGAACTACAGGTCCTTTTTACCTGTGTCCTGCGGGTCAGAACTCAGGTCCTCAGGCTTAGAAGGCAAATGCTTTATCAGTGACTTAGTCATTGTCTTGTGCAAAACTGATTTGTTACATGAATTTTATGCAACTCCACTGGCCCTTTCCATTAAAGCATGAGTGAGATGAGATAACCTTAACACTTTTATACACGCAGCTGTGTTACCCTTCAGAGATTCAGAATCTGAGAAGCTTCCCCATGCTAATGTTTAACTCCAGCCCCTAAGGATTTTACTTGACATTTACAGCCATTGCTTGACAGGCAGAATGGTGGGGGAAACAGTCCTTGTCTTCTGCATACATACCTAGTGAAGGAGAGTGTGAAAGGGAGGTGAGGGAGTGGGAAAGGACCTTCAGGATGTTTCTGAGGGCAATGTTAACAAGAACAGGCCTGTCTGTCATAGGAGTCCCTCTGTGCTAACCCAACCTGGCACTTCAGCGGACACAGGGTCACCATAGTACAGGACCATGCCACTTAAGTCATGCCAGGAGCAATAAAATACAGCAAGACCAAGTTTAAACTGTGGGAAACTCCACCCCCTTCTTACTGAGCAGGAGGGAGGATCCTAGCCAGGTCCAGAGGTCAGTAGGAGGTCAGGTCAGCTGGGGGAGGGGCTGGGAGCTCCCTGCTGTGAGCACCAAACCCTCTCTGGAGCAAGGGTCACCACCCTTTGAGGGCAGGGCAGAGGTGGGAGGGTTCCTAAGCACAAGTGCAGCAGGTTAATAGAAGAGACCCAGCAGCAGGCACAGACCCAGGACATTACAGCCAGGAGTTCAAACCCAGTCAACTACAGGAAAATTATGCCAGTGCTACAGAAGCAAACAAAACCAGTGTTCAGGCTGGCTGTGATGGCTCACAGCTACAGTTGGCACTTTGGATGCCAAGGCAGGAGGACTGTTATAAATTTGAAGCCAGTCATAACTACACAGTGAGACTGTGTTAAAAAAAAAAAAAAAAAAAAAAAAAAGTAGACGGTGGGTGGCAAACAACTTTAATCCTAGCACTCAGAAGGCAGAGGCAAGTGGATCTGAGTTTGGGGCCAGCCTGGTCTACAGAGTTCCAAGATAGCCAGGGCTACAAAAAGAAACCCTGTTTCAAAAAGAAAAAAAAAAAAAAAAAAAAGCAAAGATGCCCCCTACCAAACCCAGGGACAGGCAACAGGGGGGGTGGGGAAATGCACACTCTTATTCTAGCACAGGCAAAGGCAAGGAGATCTCTGAATTACAGGCCAAGGAGGGTAGGGAAAAAAGAACATCTAGGAAGAAAAATGTCTTGGCCAGTCATGGTGGTACACATCTTTAATCCCAGCACTCATGAGACAGAAGCAGGTGGATCTCTGTTGAGTTCTAGGTCAGCCTGGTCTACATAGTGAGCTCCAGGACAGCCAGGGCTACATAGAGAGAGAGAGACACTGTCTCAAAAACACCAAAAAGAAAAATCTCTACCACTATCTTTAGTGGTGGAAATCATAATTTGGCCTTGGAAACTGGGCACAGGGCATAATGCCCTGCTTCACTGTGACAGATCCTACCTGGATCTAAGTCTGTTAGATTGTGGAGGGACTAGTCATACCTTATATTCTGTCTGACACCTTCCCTAAGATGCTAAACTAGCATTTAGCCCCACAGTAGGGTAGGACATAGAATCAACTTTCCAAATTACTGCCTTATGTCCTACCTAAGTTCATTAATCTTCTAAACAAACAAAACCAAACCAGAAACACCAAACCTGAGCCCAGTATGGGGTGAGTATCCCCTTGTGTGGTGCTACCTTGGCTAATGGCAGAGTGGCCAGTGTTTATGTGTTGACCCCACCTTTCCAAGGTCAGGAAGTTACCTTCACCAGTGGCCAATAAAATCTTTAAAGATTTTATTTATTTTTTATGTATATAACATTCTGCTTCCATATATATCTGCACACCAGAAGAGGGCACCAGATCTCATAACGGATGGTTGTGAGCCACCATGTGGTTGCTGGGAATTGAACTCAGGACCTCTGGAAGAGCAGTTGGTGCTCTTAACCTCTGAGCCATCTCTCCAGCCCCAAGGCCAAGTTCTTCAGTCAGTCATCTATATCTATTCTATGAATGGGAACAGACACCTACACTTCTGCTTGCACAACAACGTGTAGAACAGAGCTATTTACAACAGCTAAGAAAT